CACTAATATGTGGAATCAAAAACAAAACAAAACAAAAGATAAATACAAAACAGAAACAGACTCTTAGACATAGAATACAAACTTGTGGTTGCCAGGGGGGAGGGGGATGGGAAGGGACAGACTGGGAGTTCGAAATTTGTAGACACTAACAAACATATGTAGAATAGATAAACAAAATTATACTGTATAGCACAGGGAAATTTATACAAGATCTGGTGGTAATTCACAGCGAAAAAGAATGCGACAATGAATATATGTATGTTCATGTTAACTGAAAAATTGTGCTCTACACTGGAAATTGACACAACATTGTAAACTGACTATAACTCACTAAAAACAAATTCAATTGAAGATGTCTTATTTGAACTTATTTGTAGCCTATTTGAGCTATTTTTTTTTATCCCACTTTGGATCTAGATTCTGTGGGAGAGAGATGGTGTGCATATGATCTTCCCTTTAAGGAGTTTCCAACTCTATTTGAGGATTCTGGTGTGGCTAGAGCATAAAGGAGGAGAAGGAGACTGGCGAGGGGTGAGCTCAATAGGTAGCCACAAGTCAAGCTGAGGAGTCTGACTCCATCCCGGGGGCACTGGAGAACCATGGAGAGTTATAAACATGGAGAGGATAGGGTTAAGTTTTGGTTTTAGAAGATACATCTGGCCACTGTTTGGAGGGTGGTTGAGGGGGCATGGAAAGGAGCAAGGTTAGGGGACTCAGTCAGAGCTGCCTGTGGAGGGAGCTGGGGGTGTCTATGACCAGGAGGAGGAAGCTGGGGAGGAGGGGCCAGTGTAGGTAGAAAAAAGTGACTTACTTTACTCTCTTCGTCCACCAAACATCCATTGCTTTGAGTAGTTATTGATTCATTCAATCAACAAATAATTATTTTGCATCTGTGCAGAGCAACATGATAGGGGACATTAAGAGGAATAAGGATGATGTTACTTCAGTCTTCAAAGGGCTTGATTAATTAACTGTTCAAGTGAGTGGAACAACAGAAGGTGAGGTAAGTGTGCATGAACCATGAGAAGAGGCACAGTGAAGGGCCCCTAAGTTTGAATGGGTATGGTGACTATGCATGTATGTAGTGGTGTGTATGTGTGTGTGCATGTGTACACATAAGCACATTGGGCACATGCACATAATGAAATAAAAAGCCTTAGCACCAACATATATTTCTATAACAGAGAGAAAGAGAGAAAGAGACAGGGACAGAGACAGAGACAGAGAGATACTTTTGTGACAAGCAAACTTGGGTCTTGAATTTTCCCCTAAAAGACATCTAAATATGGTAGAATAGCCAGACAGAGTCACATTTGTCTGGCAAGCTTAATTTTACCACGCAAGGATTAACCTGAAAGTCTCAAGGGCATTAGGCTGTAGGAACTGAGGGAAGGTCCCTCCTCTGCTGGTTATTTCCCTGGACGGAAGCAGTGGTCTGAGCCCCTAAATACTCAGCCTAGTGCTTGAGTTCCTTCACAGAAGCCCAGGCTGCTCCAAGAAAAAAGATTCTCTGGGGATGGTGATGGCCATTAGGTTTCCTTAGTATATGCCCATTGACTCATGAGCCTCCTTACTGCATTTTTAACATCTTTGTTTCTCAGGCTGTACACAATGGGGTTGACCATGGGAGTGACCACAGTGTAGAGCATGGAGAAGATCTTGTTAAGGGCAGCAGCCTGGGTTGCTGTGGGAATGGCATACACTGTTCCCAGTGTTCCATAGTACAGAGTTACCACTATGAGGTGGGAGGAGCAGGTGGAGAAGGCCTGTTGCTTTCCTGCAGTTGATGAAATCTTGAAGACAGCAGCAACAATGTGGATATAGGAGGCTACAGTGAGTAGGAAGGGCACCATGGTAATGAAGGAGGCCAGGATGAAAGTGGTTTTCTCTACTGTCTCAGTATCAGAACAGGCCAGCTCTATCACTGGGGCAAGATCACGGAAGAAGTGGTCAATATTATAGGCTGCACAGAATGGCAACTGGAAAGTCATGGTGACAGTGACCACAGGGGTTAGGAAGCCACGCAGCCAAGACCCACCTGCAAACAGGAAACGTGTGTGGATGAGGGATGAGTACTGGAGGGGGCTGCAGATGGCCAGGTAGCGGTCATAAGACATGGCTGCCAGTAGAAAACACTCAACTACTGCCATTGACCCGAAGAAGTAAAACTGGGCCACACAACCTACAAAAGAAATCACCTCAGGACCTGAGAGAAGGGTCTGCAGCATCTTAGGGGCAATGGAGGTAGCGTACCAGATCTCAAGGAAGGAGAAATTGGACAGAAAGAAGTACATAGGGGTTTGGAGGCTGCGGTCAAGGGAAATGACTGTAAGGATAAGAATATTCCCTAGCAAGGTCACTACATAGATTCCCAGAAATATCCCAAAAAGAAAAAAACTGTAACCCATGGAGACTCCCAAATCCCAGGAGGAGAAATTCTTTGATCATGGTCAGATTACCCATATCTGTGAGATTCATGCTTTAGACCTAGAGAAAGAAGAGAAATACAGCCAGTTGGAAAAAGTATTATGTTATCGGAGAAGGGCAACAGCACCAGAAATACCAAATAGTATAAAACTCAGAGGCCCTGTCTTTTCTCCTCTGGAACAAATTTTCTGTTTTGTTCTACTAGATGTATTTACCTAATAGTTACAGTAGAATCAGAAACTATGTCCTGGAGAGTTATAAAAGAGGGCGTCTCCTTTTCTCTTTTCCATTCTTCCTTGACATAACTGGTGATGATTCTACCTTTGGGAGTCTCACAGTGGGAGGCAAACACCTCTCAATGGGGACATGGTGCAGAAGCTTCTCTAAATTTCTGAAACACAGCTTTTAAGACTTAATGGAAATGTTAGTCCAAAACTGTAAAATAACATTGGAATTCACATGACCCTAACTCCCACTGAATCCCTAAGTCAGGGTGGGTTTCACCAAGAATGTAATTGGAGGGAGGAGGGGAATTCAGAACTATTGATCTTAAAGTACCTGTAAGAAAAATAAGAGTTTCTGCCAGACTCTGGGGATGTGTAGCTGATTGCTTCCATGGCATCGAATTCCTATGGAAATTGGAGGGAAATGTATGTAAAGTTATTCACTCAAAATGTTAGAGAAAAATAATGTTCCATCCTTCATAAATGAAAATGACATTCCTGACTCACAAGCAGTAGGATGTGCATTTAGTTTTTCTTTTTCCAGCAGCACGGATGGGTTAGCAGTGAGTCATAGATGCAACTCCCCTGTCCCCACAAGCCCCTCTACCCTAACCCTGGAGCTTAGAGACATATTTTTGAAATGGCTGGCTGGTCTTAGTGCCTGGGCTGTGTGATAAGATTAACAATTGGTCTATGTTGTGGCCTAAACTAAGGGTAAGTGTGAGGCCAGAATTAGGAGCTTAGTTCAGTTGATGTTCTAGGTTGTGGCCAGGGAATAGAACAAAGACATCTTTGCTGCTTTGCTTTCGGTAGAGACAATGTGTCCCTAAAAGGTTACAGCTAAGTTATATTTTGTAAATAAAATTCTATTTTAAATCCACTCAGGAAACTGGCTATTCAGAGGACTCTTATTAAGAATGCTTCTGTGACATGAAAGAATTTCTACATAATTTACCCTTTGTACCAATATGGATTATTAATACACTGAGCTTGTGTTAAGGAAGATCCACCTGTAATAGGGGTATTCAGGATATTTAGGGTGCCTAAGGTGGTACTGAATATAATTATAGTGTGTAAGGAAAATCAATCTGCAACTAGAGTTGTCCCTGGGGGTGAAAACTGCTTCCTAATTGGGGGATTAAACTGCAGTGTCCTATTACCTACCATTTTACCTTGTCTTCAGGGACTGGCAGCCAGCATTCAGAATCAAAATTAACATCATTAGATTTTTATTATTCAATCCCAAGTCTCATTAATTAATAATGAATAAAGTTGATTTTCTCTTTTGGTTTACAGGCATGCTCCTTGGTGCCTCCAAGTTTAAGGGTGCATCAACCCCCCTAAATCCTCTTTCATCTTCTCTTTTCTTGCAGTGAAGATAGATTAATGTCATCACAAAAGAAAGGTTTCAGCTCAGAATTCTATTCATTCTTTCAATCAGTAGTTTATTTACTCAGCACATATTTTTGGACACCTACTATGTGTCATGTATTGGGCTAGGTAGGCATTGGAGATAAAATTAAGAAGAGGAAATTCATGGTCTCAGTGTTCCCAGAGCTTACATCCTAGAAGCAGGGGTGATCTTTAAAATAACTGTAACACTACTATTGCGATCAATACTATGAGGGAGAAATACAGGGTCCTAATACAAAAATAATATATCTGGAGAGGTGACCTCATTTTGGTAGGATGGTTAGCAAAGATCTCTCTGAAGAGGAAGTCATATTTAAGCTAAGATTTGATGGATATGGAGTAGCCAGCTATAAGAACAGTCAGAGGAGAGGTATTACAGGTAGGGAGGCAGCATGTGCAAAGGCCCTGAGTGAGATAAGTACTTGAATACTGGAAGAATTAAAACAAACAAGCAAACAGCAAAAACAACAACTGTGGCCAGAGGGCAACAGGTAATGCAGGTGAGGGAAAGAGTGATAGGAGGTGAGTTTGTAGAATGCGTGATGTGATTTACATTTTGAAAAGCTCCCTCAGGCTTCTATGTGGAGGGTGCAAGGAGTTAAAAGGGAAAGTGAGAAAACTGATGAGGAAACTAATATAGTAATCCAGATAAGAGACAGTAGCTAGGATTAAGTTGGGCTGGAGTAAGGTGGATTAATTTTAAGGCTTTTTGCATAGTAGAATTGATACATATTTTTGTTCTTTTCTGCATGAATATTAAACTTTAATAAAAAGTTTATTCTAATGAAATGACATGGATTGCATAAAAAGAGGGTGGCTTAAGCAACTGCATGGCTGATCATGTCTATTCCTGAGATGGGTGGACTAAGTAGGTAATTTAGTTTGAGGAGAATTTTCTCCCTTCCTTCCTTCCTTCCTTCCTCCCTCCCTCCCTCCCTTCTTCTCTTCTTCTTCTTCTTCTTCTTCTTCTTCTTCTTCTTCTTCTTCTTCTTCTTCTTCTTCTTCTT